TGGTTTTGTGAATATTTCAGGAAACTGTATTGCCTCTCTCTCTGAGGAAACGTCTGCTGCAAACTGACGACTTCCCAGCAGGGAATGAGCTATCTCCTTGGGGTTTTTTTGTTTTTGGAGTCAGAGTCTCACTCTGTCGCCCAGACTGGAGTGCAGCAGCTGCTCCCAGCCACCACAGCCTCGATCTGCTGGGCTCCAGCGATCCTTCCGCCTCAGCCTTCCAAGTAGCCAGAACTACAGGCACGTGCTACCACGCCCGGCTCATTTTTTATTTATTGTAGAGATGAGGTCTCGCCAACTTGCCCAGGCAGGTCTCGAACCCGCGGGCTCAGGCAATCCACTCACCTCAGCCTCCCAAAGCGCGGGATTACAGGCTGAGCCCCCGAGCCCAGCTCTCCTTGGTTTTTTTAAGTTTTGATGTTCTTGGTTGAGGTCAGACATAACCGTTACTTTTGGGTAATATCAAGGGAGTATATAAATGCTCAGTAATTCAAGAACAATTTATTAAGCATGTGTGATTTATGAAGCACTGTAATGCTAAGTCTTAGGATGGCGAAGTTGAAGCGTTCACCCTTTTCCAGAGGTGAGAAGCGTGTTTCCAGTGGAGGTGGTGTTTGGGTTGAGTCTTAACAACGAGTCAGAACAGTGAATGAAGAAGAGTGGAAAACACTCCGGGCTGAGGGAGCAAACGAAAGGGCAAGGCGAGAGTCACGGACCGCAGAGGGTGCTTCTCTAGACCTTTAGGAGTTAGGGTGCTTATGAGAGAGGAGCCTGGAGAAAGTTTGGTACCACTAAGGAATCTGAAGCAGAAGATGAGTGAGTGGATGGGGGGACAGAAAGAAGAGAGACTTTTAGATAAGTACGAAGACTGAGACAGGATCAGAAAGGACCGACAAGGGCGAAGGATGGAGTCTTGGGAAACACTCATGTTGTAAGGGGAGGCCAAAGGAAGAGCCACACTGGAGACCTGGAAGTCAAGATCTGGGCTACAGCTCACTCTAAAACGAGATGTCACAGAAGGGAGGGGGTAACGGGCCCCAACGAGTGAGTGGCTGCCAGTATCAAACATACAGATGGGTCTGGCCGTAAAAGGCCTGGAAGATAGTTGGATTTGGCAACAGGATGTCATGACATTCTTGGGCATAACAGCAGTGTGACAGGGAGTTTGTCCTCGGTTGAGGATTAAGTAGTAGTTGAGAAGACAGTAATGTGAGAGAATGCTGACTTCAGGAGTAGATATCCTCACTGACAGACCATGGGTGACATGAAATGGTCATGCCTTGTGTCTATATGGAGGGCCCTATACCAGCTCATTCTCGCATTGACGCCTCCACCCCTACTCTCAGTTTTTACAGATAAAGGTCTATTTTATATACCGTCAAATTCACCCGTTTTGGCGTGCAGTTCTGAAAGTTTTGGCAAATATGGCGTATAGCCACTACCACAATCAATAAATAGTTTCATCACATCGAACATTTCTCCACGTTCCCCTGCAACCAACCCCTTCTCTGGCCTCATGGCAGTCACAAGTCTGTTTTCTGTCCCTGTAGACCTGCTGAGTATGAGAGCAGTACACTTACTATGATTTTTTTTGTTGTCAGGGATAAGAATTCTCAATATGATTCACTTAATCTGGGACTCTCACCCTCACCATAAAAAGATGTTTATTATTACTCTTTACTCCCTAAAGTCATTTGAAGTTCTTTTGGTTCTTGTTATGGGGCTCATCAAGTGCCTAATATAGAAATGATTTGAGTATTTTTGCAAGCAAGTTATTGAAATGTCTTCTAAGAAGGAAGCATTCATCTTATGACTTGTGTTTTTGTGTACTTTCTGAGTATTTTTATCAGTACATTTGGCTTATGTTAAAACTCATTGAGGAAAAGGCAAAAATTCTTGTCAGGATAGTTGGCTAACTATAACTAAGAATATTCTAGGCTTGACGTGGTGGCTCACATCTGTAATCCCAGCACTTTGGGAGACTGAGGTGGGAGGATTGCTTGAGACTGGGCTAGGCAACATAGTAAGACCATGTCTCTCCAAAAAAATAAAAAAAAATAAGCTGAGTGGAAGGATTGCCTGGGCCCAAGAAGTTGAGGCTGCAGTGAGCCATGATCGTGCCACTGAATTCCTGGGCAACAGAATGAGACCCTGACTCAAAAAAAAAAAGTATATTCTAAACTAACTTAGTTTTTAGTTTAAAGATGTATTTATGCATTGTCCATAAGATCTATTATAATGTCATGGGTCCAATAGTCACTAAAGCCAGCTGAGAGAATGATAATGTCCCTAGTATCTGAAGTAGACCATTAACTTTTATTTTAGTCTGTGTTTTCATTGAGTTTTTTTATTTGACATTGGTTAATGTCACAAACTGCTTCTGGATCAGTGCTCCTCAAGTCGAGACCTTTTTACGTATGTTTAATGTCTCTGGAGTTGTTTATGTTTGTGACAATTACCTTGGCCTTTATTAGTACACACTGCAGTCATGTATCACTTAATGATGGGAATACGTTCTGAGAAATGTGTCTTTAGGTGATTCTGTTTTGTGAACATCATGGAGTGTGCTTACGCACACCTAGGTGACACAGCCTGCCACACACCTAGGCTGTATGGTATGGGCTGTATGGTATGGCCTGTTGCTCCTAGGTGACAGACCTGTTCAGCACGTGACTGCAGGCGACTGTGACACCTGATATTTGCGGATATGAACATACTCAGACACAGAAAAGGTACAGTAAAAATGTTGTATAAAAATCGAAAAATGGCACGTCTGTCTATGGCACTTCCCATGCATACAGTTTGCAGGACTGGAAGCTGCTCTGGGAGAGTGAGTGTTGTGAGTGAATGTGAAGGCTTAAGACATACTGTGCACCACTCTAGCCTTTATAAGCGTTGGACCCTTAGGCTACACTAAGTTTATAAAAACTTTTTTCTCTGTTCATTCATAGTTCCCCTTAGCTTATGATAACTTTCTTACTTTATCGGTGTTTTAGTTTTTTTAGCTTTTGAGTCCTTTGTAATAACACTTAGCTTAAGGTACAAGCACATTATTTAGCTGTGCAAAAAAAATTTTCTTTATATCTTTATTCTGTAAGCTTTTTTCTATTGAATATCTTTTTCTTTTGCTTTTTAAACCTTTTTTTTGGTTTTTGCACCCTCACGGTACAACGGCTGTGATGTCACGAGGCGATCGGGGCTCTTCAGCTTCATTACGATCATTTGGAATGACCATTGTATGTGCACTCTGTTGTTGACTGGAAGATCATTACGCATTCCATGACTGTATTCCCAAGGGATGCATCACCCATTTTATAAAATAAGAAGGCTTGTTTTCTTTTGTACTTGCCCAGGTCTGTACTATGTCAGTAATTCACCTTTCATCTCCCAAAATCGTTTACTGGCTGCTTCTAGCTCGGACTGACTCTAAAGGGAAGTCATATCAGTATTAATCCCATTTGGTGGCGGACAGTAAAGAAGTAAATTATTTGCCGTTTCACGATCTTGCCAGTGTTTTAAGTGGCTTTGGATAGTGTTTGCTCTGAGTTGATGCCGGTGCTTTTTTCCTTAGTCAAACTGATTGTTTTCTACTTTCTCAACAAAATTTCTTATTCCTTCCAGGATTATTGTGGCAGAAAATGTTAGCATAACCAGAAGCCTTTGGAATACCTCTGAGTTTTATTCAAGCCTATAAATGCTCTGTTTACAATGTTTCTTTTTAATGAAAAGTTAAGAGTCGGGGTGGAAAAAACCGATTTTGTGAGGATACACCTTGGAGAACTGACCTGGTGGCTGTTCACCAAGAAATAAATGAATAACACCTGGGGGTTTGTATTTACCACCTGCTCGGCATGAATTATTGGTGTAACAGGGCTGCTAAAAATAGATAACTTTTCAGGCTGCATTAATAAACATTTGGATAATTGCTTTCTTTATTTTATATGAGTTGGGCCACATCTTGAGTGTAGTGTTAAGTTTGGATTGCTTCAGAAGAAACACTTAAAAAGTTTAGAATTTGCAATGAAGCATTCTTGACTACTTCTAGCAGAGCTCACTGACAGGAAGCCTTGTCCAGCAGCCCAGAGGGAGTTTCTCATAAAGCAGTGAGCTTTATGTCATTGGAAGGGTTCAAAGAATATATGCTTCATGAATAGGAATTGTTTTTTGGAATGTTCTCCCTTTGCCCCACGGCTGAAACAATGCCTGGCACATAGTAGTTGCATATATGAGTAAGAGACGAATAACTGTCTCTCAGGAAGGATGTCCTGGAGGGAACTCTGTGTCAAAGGGAAAGGATGACCCCAATGTCCACACCCATGGTGAGACTGTGGTTTTAGGACCTTTAAGGACCAGTGAGTTTATGTGAAAAAAAATGATTAGCCAATAATATTGTGAACCAAGTTATAGCATTTGTCAATTAAATTTGACATTATCACCTTTTAATGACTTTGTATATTTTCTGTTGCTAAATTTTGCTTTAGACTTTAGGTGTTTTAGTGATATTTTAATGAAGGGGTGATCTTTGCTACTCTACTGATCACCAAGAACCTGGCTGGTCTGAGTGGCTAGCTAGGTAACCTCTGGCACCTTCTCTCAATCAGAGAAGGTGGCTTTCCCAGATGGAGGGTAACTGTTTTAAATAATGATTCTAGAAGTAGCCATGTTCCTCTTTTGACAGTTTCGAAGAGTGGCAGCACACTGTTTCTGACGATGGTATTCACATAATTGCAAAATAACTTTGGGTCGGAAAGATTTCTTGCTGCTCGTGAACTTACTGAAAAGCAGAGTGACAGGAGGAATTAATAGAAACTGAGATGAAATGAGATGTAAAGGTACATCTGAACTGGAAACTTGAAGGTTTGATCCAACACATGCATCTAGGGAAATCGTACAAGCCATGTGGTATTTCCACAGAGATTTGTTACAGGAACCAAAAGTTACCCATCCTGCTCTTTATTCCTTTCTCTTTCTTTTGACGCCACCTCTCTCTTCCATTATAGAGCACCAAAACTACTTTGGCATAGACGAAAACCTTGGCCCAGTGGCTGTCAGCATCCGGAGAGAGAAAGCGGAGGATCCCAAGGAAAAAGAAGGGTCTCAGTTCAATTACAGGGTGGTTTTCAGGACAAGTGAGGTAATGGGGATGCTTTGCATTGTTACTGGGCTAAAGTCTAAACCTCCTTTGGTATTACTGCTTTAGTTTATTTTCAACTGGGCAGTGAATTTATATTTGTTCGTTTATTTATTTATTTATTTATTTAGAACTGGAGTCTCACTCTGTCGATTTATATTTGTTCGTTTGTTTATTTATTTATTTATTTATTTATTTATTTATTTATTTTGAACTGGAGTCTCACTCTGTCGATTTATATTTGTTCGTTTGTTTATTTATTTATTTATTTTGAACTGGAGTCTCACTCTGTCACCCAGACTGGAGTGCAGTGGCCGCTCCCGGCCACTGCAGCCTCGACCTGCTGGGCTCCGGCCATCCTTCCATCTCAACCTTCCAAGTAGCTGGAACTACAGTCGCTCGCTACCATGCCCGGCTAATTTTTTTGATTTTTATTGTAGAGATGAGGTCTCGTCAGGTTGCCCAGGCGGGTCTCGAACCCGCGGGGTCAGGCAGTTCACTCACCTCGGCCTCCCAAAGCACAGGATTACAGGCTGAGCCACTGAGCCCGGCTGTGAATTTATATTTTTGATGTTAACGATCATAACATTTAAGGTAATACAAAGGGGAATTGCAGTATTATATTCCAAATGAAAAAATTGGAAACAGGTCATGGATGTTAAGTGGCAGTGGGTTTATTGCTACTTTACACAAAAGAAAGTATACCATGATAAAAATGGAAAATTTAGGGGCTAAGAGAGAACACACACAAACTATATCATTTATGTCTGAGTTTAAAAACAACTTTAAAGGCCAGGCAAGGTGGCTCAAGCCTGTAATCCCAGTACTTTGGGAGGCTGAGGCAAGAGAATTGCCTGAGCCTGCAGGTTCAAGACCAGCCTGGGCAACATGGGGAGACCTCATCTCTACAATAAATCAAAAACTTAGCTGGGTTTTTAGTGCATGCCTGTAGTTCCGGCTACTTGGAAGGCTGAGGCAGAAGGATCGCCGGAGCCCAGCAGGTCAACCCAGGGGTGGCCATGAGCATGCCAGTGCATTCCAGCCTGGGCAACGGAGTGAGACTCCAACTCAGGGAAAAAAAAAATCCTTAAAGCCTAACACAGAAAATTAGGATGCCTGCGTTGGGTTGAATATTTGACTCATGTCTTCAGCAGTGTAGTAGCTTTGTCCATGCAACTTTGTTTTATTGAGGACCCAGGTTAGTTCCTTGGTGGTCTTGCTTTGAGTGAAAAATGAGATCATTACACAAATGGCATAATACATATAGCTAAATAGGTAGAAATGCTGATTTATATAAAGAATTAGATCTGAAGCTGGTCACGTTGGTGCAGACCTGTAGTCACAACCACTTGAGAGGCTTAGGCGAGAGGATCCCTTGAAATCAGGAGTTTGAGGCTATAATGCACAATGATTGTACCAGTGAATAGCGCCTGCACTCCAGCCTGGGCAACATAGCAAGACCTCCTCCCTTTAAAAAAAAATTAGATATGGCCTGTCTTTGAGGTGTTATTCATTTTGCTCATTTTAATTACAGGAATATATATTTGGCAAATATTTCAGGGTGTGTTTTGAATACTTCCAGATCAAAGAAAAGATATTACTGCCTGTCACCATTCAGCCTCAAAAATGGTCAGCATGAAAAATTGAATAGAAGGAGATAAGGAAGACTAGAAGAAAAAGAGATGTAGAAAAATGGGGAAATGGGAGAAAGAAAAGGGAGGATAGAAGAAGAGTGAAGGTTAAGCCGAGGGCTAGCATATGCAGCTTCTCTTTGGCATGAGCCTTCCCATGTGGGTCCAGAGAGTCGGAGGAAGGCCTTAATTTTTATATCTGCTTTGCTTCTCCTCATTCGCAGGCACACATCTGATCATTTTCGCCCCACCTGGCTTATTCCTGTTTTCCTTGTATAATGTGGTCATTTATAGACTATTTGAGTATTGATGTTGCTTTTTTGAAGGGAGTACTTTAGCCCTTTTTGCCCCACTTGGAAAGAGCGTTGATTCTTTTTTTCCTTAAGGCAGCCAAATAATTAGGCTTTAAGTAGGTGACCAGCTGTAAGTATTAACTGAGTGTCTTATTTATGTTTCGCCTCTGCAGCTTACAACCCTGAGAGGAGCAATTTTAGAAGATGCTATTCCATCTACTGCTAGGCACGGTACCGCACGAGGACTACCTCTCAAAGAAGTTTTGGAATATGTCATTCCAGAGCTGAGCATTCAGTGCCTGCGACAGGCTTCCAACTCACCCAAGGTTCCAGAACAGCTGCTCAAGCTCGATGAACAAGGGGTGTGTATAGTGTGGGAGAGTGTATTGTATGTCTGTGTATGAATTTGCATCTATGTTTCTAAAGGTTTTGGAATTTCCCCATCCATCTTTCCTTTAAAAATCTCATTTTTTTAATGCCTTGGAGCATTTTCTCTCTATTTTTTTTCCAAATATGCCTTTATAGTAGTTTAGAAACATGATGCCTTTATGGTATAACACACCTCCTGCTGAACTGAGACTTGGTGTTTCTCCCAAGGTTTTGGTATGTCCCAGCTAACAAGAGCACGTCTGATTTCATGATTAATAGAGGTTCGTAGTGTTTTTTTTTTCCAGAACTTAACAATCTCATGTGGGCCCATTTCCTGAACCAACATTTATTCTTGTCTGCTATGTGCAAGGCATCATGCTGACAGATGGGTGTGAACAGCACGCATGAGGAAGGTTGAAGCTGACTAAGACCTAGTCTCTAGCCTATGGGGCAGTAAGACTAAGAGCATAAGCAAGGTGGAACACGCTAAGATGTCTCGGAGAGGTGTAAATGCAGTGAGTGTTTTGAGGAAAGAAGAAATAACATCTGGCTGGGGAGATATCCTGAAGAGGTGGTCCAACAAGTCCTTGGACCTGGATGGAATTCCATGAGTAGTTGACTGTATTAGGAATTGTGACTAATCTAATTTCTTTCCAAAGAAAAGGGAAATTGTGAGGGGGAAAACAGGTAAGTTGGGACTAGAACGAATGAGACCTTGAATGCTAGGCTAAGGAGCATGTACTTGCTTCAGGAGGCAGTTGGGAGCCATCAAAGGTTTTCCATGAACATGTGACATAATCAGAGCTGTATTTTAGGAAGACTTTTCTGGTAGAAGGAAATTAGGGTGATGACGATAGAGATTGATAGATAGCTACATGGAGTGAAATTATGTGATTTTTTAATATTGTCCAGACAAGAATTAATGTTGACAGGATTAAGGTATTTGCCCAGAAGATGGAAAACAGTCTTTTAAGTTTCATATGCAAAATAATTTGTAGAAGAAACTGAGAGGTGCGCAAGTGCATACAATTTATTTTAAATGAGTGGATTTGTTTTTAAATCCATAATTTAAAAAAAGACAATGACAACGTATATTTCTAGACTTTCCCAAGGAATATTCTTTTGCATGTTTTAGTGGGAAGATGAGATATTTCTTGGTCGACCTAGTAATAACTACTGTACTTAAAGTAGAATATTTGGCACCTCAGATGGCTAAATTCTAAAAGTGATGAAATTGTAGTTTGTCTAACAAGTTGACACTGCATTATTAGCAAAAAAGAAGCGAACATTATAACACTCAGAATGAATAATTTTGAGCTCTGTCAATCAGGAATGAAAGCTGACATATTGAAAACAATTAAGCCAAACTTTCAACGTGGGCAGTTGACTTCTAATGTAGTGTGATATACAGAATAAGCTTACCATGTGTGCTCATGACTGGTAAAGTATGTGAATATATGAAATGTCCATGATACAGTTGATGAAAAGTGTTATAGAGGGATAGAAAGAATGTATAAGGCTTGGTCTGAATGCTCAGAGTTCAAGCAGGCTTGACGAGAAGAGTAGCATTCATTTTCATGTTGCAAGAGGTTTGGTGCAAAAAACTTGCCATCCATGTAGTGGTTCTTTGTCCCCTTATGTTTATAGAATGTGTTGGTTCTCCCTGCTGGGCACGGTGTTTGGTCCTCTGAGGCTGCTCTAGAAAGTTCTATAAATAGTCCATGTTCCCCTGAACCTCTCAAGCCTCTGCAGCTGCCACCATCTGGGGTTTCTCTTGCAGAACAGTGAAAAGAGATATTATGGAAGCTGCAGTTGACTGTCTTCTCGTCGAATGGAGCAGGCATTTGGAATGTCTGTGGAGTCAAATAGGTCTAGAAATTGTGCCAGGCAGTTATTAAAATGAGGCATTTTAAGTACTTTTAGTGAACACCTGTTTACATTCTGATGTCAAGGAATTAATTTTGAAAATTGGGTTCTGCTTTTGTACACACCAGTGCATTTCATAGCTCTTGTTATACTTCATGTGCTTTCTCGTTTGATCTTATATTTGTTTGTCTTTGGTGTAGTTTCTTAATGGTGTTCAGATTTAATTAAGCACAGTGTGGTATGTTAACTTCCTGCAACTCTTAATAGCACCTGACTCCCAAAATACATGAAGAAGAGGCACTGGTTATGTTCAACTCTAAGAGACTCTGGACAGATTTTTACCCAGCTTCTAGAGGATCCTTAAAAGTTGCCACTGGCCTGTTAGAGCGGTGGAGAGTAGATTCCGAGTAGTGCTGCTTTTGTTATTTTCCTCATAGTAAAGTTGCCCAGGAAGAGATGGGCCAATTTTGTTGCTGTTATAAGTGTTTTTTTGTTTTTTTTTGAATTGGAGTCTCACTCTGTCGCCCAGACTGGAGCGCAGTAGCACACTCCCAGTCACCACAGTCTCGACCTGTTGGGCTCTGGCGATCCTTCCCCCTCAGCTGCTGCCAAGTAGCCGGAACTACAGGCACGCGCTGCCACACCCAGCTCATTTTTTGATTTATTGTAGAGACGAGGTCTCGCCAGGCGGGTCTCAAACCCGCGGGCTCAGGCCATCCACTCACCTCAGCTCCCAAAGCATGGGA